CGAAATTAGATTTTTCAAACAACGCTGTTAAAGTCATTAATGAAGCTTTTGAAAGTTGAGCCAAGCGTAACATTTTCAATATTTTAACAGTAGTTAGTTGATAAAAATGTTTATCTACATGGTAACTAGAATTCAATAAACATTCAGTAGGAAGAACGATGGGTGAGTTACATCATTCTTCATTTATTTTGTTGTTGCTGATAACTGAACACATCCTGATGTAGAACTGTGGGAACCATATTTAACATCTTTAGAAGCTTAAAGGTTTCAATATACTGTATACTATTTGCTTTTCACTGATGTAGTAACTAAACTTTTATAGATAATTTTTCTTAATGTTGCACAGTATAGCTTAGCATTTAGTACTTAATTTAATTTAAATAGAACCAAAACATTTAGCATTTAGTACCTAATTTAATTTATATAGAACCAAAACATTTAGCAATTAGTACCTAATTTAATTTAAGTAGAACCAAAACATTTAGCATTTAGTACCTAATTTAATTTATATAGAACCAAAACATTTAGCAATTAGTACCTAATTTAATTTAAGTAGAACCAAAACATTTAGCATTTAGTACCTAATTTAATTTATATAGAACCAAAACATTTAGAAATTAGTACCTAATTTAATTTAGATAGAACCAAAACATTTAGCATTTAGTACCTAATTTAATTTATATAGAACCAAAACATTTAGCAATTAGTACCTAATTTAATTTAAATAGAACCAAAACATTTAGCATTTAGTACCTAATTTAATTTATATAGAACCAAAACATTTAGCAATTAGTACCTAATTTAATTTAAATAGAACCAAAACATTTAGCATTTAGTACCTAATTTAATTTATATAGAACCAAAACATTTAGCAATTAGTACTTAATTTAATTTAAATAGAACCAAAACATTTAGCATTTAGTACTTAATTTAATTTAAATAGAACCAAAACATTTACCATTTAGTACCTAATTTAATTTAAAAGAACCAAAACACACGTACAAAGTTAAACTAAATATTGGGAGTTTGAATAGGTACATTACTTTAAAGACAGCGAAAGAGTTGCTATCTAATTCGAGAGTTATCATCCTCAAGAATTAAACTCTGTGGGACTAATGATTTATTAAACAGTAAACAGAAATCCCTGGTATTAGTGGAGGTTTAGAAAGCACAGAAAGATCTCAGGATTTAGTCTTCGTGGGATTATAGAGTGGGCAGGAAGCACATGGTTGTATTATCATATTGAATTCTATCATCTAATAAAAATGCCTTATTCATCCAAGACAACTCTGTAATAATGATTTTGGATAAAATAATTTTAAAATGAATATCAAATTCTCCTCATGTTCGAATACAATCTAGAGTGCTAAATTTTATAGAACCTCATGAACAGCCACAATAAAGTTATTGCATTAGCATTGTTCATTGTTTAGGTAGGTCCTTTTTTTAATCGCTTAAGGAATTCCTTGGTATGAGAGTGTCTTGTTTTTGCAGAATTAACGTGGGCTCAAGGACAAGATGGATCACTTGGTTCGATATTTCTACAATATTTTATGCTATAATAGCGTTTCAGGGCGTAACGACGTTTTGTCTTCCCCAAACTCACGGCGTTTTCAAAACTGGAAACTCACATTCTGCTTGGTTTTTGTTTTGTTTTTTACTTTACACTGTGAACGCTGATATCAAGTTAAGAACAGGTTAAGCTCTATAGAATCTGCCGTTCTGCTAAACTCTCAAAGTAATCTTTCACACCCTCTTACGTTTCTACACTGTGTTGATCTAATGATAATACTGTGATACATGCTTGCTAGTTGTTGAGGTTCTGAAATTGAACATGCATCAGTTTTATTTCATGCTATCTAACTTGTTCTTTGTCATATATAAGGAGCTGAATGAAGCCTTTAAATATGGTTTCATGGTCCTTTGTTTACTGGCATCTAATTCAAATAAGTCTGTATAATTAGTTCAAAGGCATCGCTATAGCAAGCACTTCTTAGAAGTAAATACAGCAATTATAGTAAATATAGTTTCCCAAATCAATATAATAGAAAACAAGAAAAGTTATTAATCATTTGCGGATACAGATATTGTTTTTAAGCGATATTAGTGGTACGTCTATTTCATTATTTTTGTCCTTCACTTCCAAAATAATAGTGGTACGTCTATTTCATTATTCTTGTCCTTCACTGCCAAAATTATAGTGGTACGTCTAGTTCATTATTCGTGTGCTTCACTTCCAAACTAATAGTGGTACGTCTAGTTCATTATTATTGTGCTTGACTTCCAAAATAATAGTGGTACGTCTAATTCATTATTCTTGTGCTTCACTGCCAAAATAATAGTGGTACGTCTATTTCATTATTCTTGTGCTTCACTGCCAAAATAATAGTGGTACGTCTACTTCATTATTATTGTGCTTCACTGCCAAAATTATAGTGGTACGTCAAGTTCATTATTCTTGTGCTTCACTGCCAAAATAATAGTGGTACGCCTAGTTCATTAATTTTGTGCTTCACTGCCGAAAAAATAATAGTAGTACGTCTCTCTCTCTCTCTCTCTCTATATATATATATATATATATATATAT